ATAACAGCATTAATTCACTTCAGTTGTGGCCTCAAGTTCCTTTTCTCAATAGAGAAATGAACAACAACCAATTTCATTTCTTTATAATGTAACTATCACTTTAGGAAACAGAAGCTAGTTTAATACAATCCCTTCAATAAAAGGGGTTTGAGGTAGAAGGAGAAGGGAAGATAGAAGCTGCTGATAAATTTATGTGTATTTTAACAATGCATAAGTCAGAAGAATTTTTTTGATGTTCATCCAGGCTTGACTTTTTTTATATTTGTTAGATATGTACAAAATATTACATATATAAATTAGGCAAGGATTTTCTTCAAGTACTACTCCCTTTGCACTTAGCATGGCAACGATCTATTCACATAATTGTGAATCTATAGCCATTTGTTTGCCAAAAGGAAAGCAAAATTTAAGTCTACTCAGAAATTATGACTCATTACTATGACCACCATGAAACATCAATTTAACACCAAAAATTGCATTGAGTTCATCATCAAACAAAAAAATTTAAAATATCAACTATATAAGATGGAACTTGTTTGGTGCAAGAAATCCCAAGTATGGAAGCTTGTTACAGAATCCAGATTTTGATTTGCTGTTATGGAACATTAGGACTACATAATTGTCTTTAAAAGAACATTTTAATTCAAATTATAGGACCATAAATTGAGAAGATCAAATGTGTTTGCATATAATTTGCATGTGCCAATCTATTTATGTCTCCCCTTCTACATCGTAACTTAAACATAGTAATTTAAATTATTGCTTCCCAGCAAAAAGTCATTTCTTCATTTTTTTTTACTTCTTTTTTCCTCAATGCCTTACCAGATCTTCTAAGTTTATAGCTTATAATGGGAAAAAGATAGAAGCAAAAGACTAAAGTATATTAACAGTCTCGGGAAAAGTACATGTCCAATTATTAGTGTCCTTGAGCAGGAAAGCCAAATACTGGCTTACAACAAGATTAACCCAATCACAGAAAACAGGACGAGACCCTGTCGCTACAAAAAAATTTTTTTCTTTAATTAGCCAGGTATAGTGGTACTCGCCTGTAATCCCAGCTACTCAAGAGGCTGAGGCAGGAGGACTGCTTGAGCCCAGATAGACATGACTGCCATGAGCCATGATGGTGCCACTGCACTGCAACCTGAGCAACGGAGTGAGACCTTAACACAAGTCTGTCAAGTATGCAGTCTAATACACAATTGTTCAATTGAAACAAAAATTAATGTGATAAATCATTGGGCCTCTAACTTTATGCAATTCTGAGAAAGCTGTTAAATCATTCTCTTCCCAAAAGTCTCTTGGAGCTCACACCTATAATCCTCAGCTGTGGAAGCTAAAGCAAGAGGATTGTTTGAGACCAGGAGTTGGAAGCTGCAGTGAGCTGGGACCTGCCATGGCACTCCAGCCTGGGTGACCCAATGAAACCCTGTCTGTTAAAAATTTCTTGGCTTAACTGGAAAAATGTAAGCTAAAGAGAACAGCCACACCACCTTTTCCCATTTCCACTCCACCTTACGCCATCAGCATAGTTTAACCAAATTAAAAACTCAATACACCCAATACCTTGGGGTGTATAAGCCATTGACAGTTTTGAGTATGAAAGAGATAGCTGTAAATAATTACACCAAGATAATAGGTATAAACAGAAGTGTCTCATAAAAACTAGGAAGTATGGATACCATATCCTTTTCTTCAAATCTCCCACTGTTTTTTCTTAGGAAAGAGAATCTGGGTAGTAGATACGATGTTAATGACATACTTTTGATAAAGATTTGACTGTTCATGGAGACACCCCTTTGTAGTCAAAAGGGTGCACTGTAAAAAATTAATCGTTTGGGATCTCAAATTTTCATGCAGAGAATAAAGATATTGGGATGGATAATTTCAACAGTACAATCTGAAGAACATCCATGCTAAGCTTTCCATTTATTGGCATCAGTTGGTTACATCCTCTACCTTTTGTTTTAAATTTTATGGTGTGTAATAAGATTAGCCTAAATATACTTAAAATTTGTACAGAAGATAGAAAATACCTGGTATCTCTATAAAATATTTAAAGCTGTTTTCTGCGTCTGTTCATGATTCTTGCCTACAAAGAATTAGAAAATGTATTATACTTGTGGGCTTAATTTCAATGTAAATATTTTTTGGAAAAGATATTTTTATTTCTGTGTTATGATCATTCTGATACTTAGTCTAGATTTCAAATTGGAAGAGATTTCATTAAACATTTGCATTATTGTAACAGCCAATATCATTATCCCACTGAAAAATTCCAGTTTTTATGTAATGTATTTAATATATCCATAATAAATGTTTTTTAAGTGAAAATTTCTTTTAAAATGTAATTTACTTTTATATCTAAAAAAGTATATTTTTTAAAATTCTGGGTACATGATCTTTTTTATACCTTTTTCTACTACACTTATACTATACCATAATTTACATTGACTTTGTTTTATCAGAAACGAGTCTTTCAAACTATATGTTTATATTGATTAGAGTACAATGTAGTTACAATCAGAGAAAACCTATTTAAGTTTATCTAGGCATCAAATATTCTCAGACCAATTATAATGTACGTGGCTGTTGTTATAAAAAATATAGCAAATTTGTCTTCACAAATCAATTAGGATTAAATATAAACACCTGCTGATACTTTCAAAACTGTTTTCAACTTTATGGTATTTAAAATGAAAACTGTCTAGACTTATACTAAAATCATTTCTACTATAGCATTTTCTTTTTAAATGTTTTTATTTTATTATAAAATTAGCAAATAACTACTACCTAAAACATTACATTTAACATCATGCAATGTTTTTCATAATAAAATAAACTATTAATGAATGTGAACTTGAAGACTGTTACAAGAACTACATGAGACAGTTTTGAAAAGAACTTAGTATAGTTTACAATATACAGCACTATATGTCAGCATATGGCAGCTACCATCTGCATCATTATATTTATATTACATAATATCTAATCATAAAGCTCTACCATAATAGATATAACTATCTGATTACTGAAAAATTATGAGGTTTCTTAGATATTTTAGCTTTATAAATAATGTTAGATTTGATATAATTTGTACATGAAGCTATTTCCACATTTTATGTTATTTCCGTAGGAGATTCCCAGAATTCAATTACCAAATAAAATGAAATGAACATTGTCAAAGACTTTAAATGTACATCATCAAATGTAAAGGTTTGCACAAACTTCTACTTCTAATAGAAATATGTAAGATTGACCCTTTCATGGTATTCCCACTGATAGTCACTATTTTTTATCTTTTTCTTAGGGCTTATTTATTGATTTTAATTATGTTCTTAACTATATATGTCTCTAATACCATATTATCTTTTTCTTATTTTTGGAGAATGTGTTTATTGACATAATGTAACAGTAACATGAAAGAAACAAGAATAATACAAAGGATTCCCCCAATATCTTTCACCCAATTTCCTGAATATTAGCATTTTACTACATTTGCTTTCACTTTATCTCTTTTTCTCTCTCTGTGGATATAGACATAATTTTTTTCTAAAACATTTAAAAGTACATTGCATAAATGATACTATATGTACTGTATTTCATGGCATTGACATTTTAAAACCTCCTTTATTCAGAATCTCAAGATAATTTAGTACAGGAAAAACAGTATCTTGTTTTAATTTGCATTTCTCTGTTGATTAAAGATGTTTTCATGTATTAATTAACTATATTTGTTCTTTGGTTACTCATCTGTTGATGATATTTGCCCATTATGTATTACCTTTACTTACATATTCATTTGCCTCCCATGTGAGAGCAAAATACTAATCACTTCTCAAGAGAAGTTCACTCTGCTCACAGTAGATTTACAACCTACTTTGACAGCAAAGGTGTAAGAAAGCAGCTTTTTAAAAAAATGCTATTTAGCCATGGAAACGATCTTCAAACAAAATTTTACATGCAAGTACAATGAAAGAAAATAGATAAAAGAGCAGATTCTCTGGTTGAAGTAAAGATAGAAGAATTGAATCCTACTGGATTCCCTCCTCTTTTCCTCTCAGCCTAAGTAACAAAGACCTCCAACTCAGACCCACTGGGAGCTCTTAAAAACTATAGACAGGGTTTCCTTCCAAGATAGACAAGAATTTTTACATCCTTTGTATCTCAATCGCTATACTGTACCTATTTTTATCAAAAAGTAATTACATATCTTTCTCAATGTATATCTTTCTTCCTCTTTCTCTTCCTCTTCCCCTTCTCCTCCCCCTTTCCCTGCCCCTCCCCCTTCCCCTTCCCTTTCTCTTTCTTTCTTCTTCTTTTCTTTTTAATCTGTTTTGCTCACAATCTTTCTATGGATGAAGCTTATGGTTAATGTTCACATTTTTCTGAGGTTCATTATAAAACAGTCTGCCCACCAAAAGATCAGAAATGTTTCCTTTTTTAAAAAAATGTTTTTCCATCATAAATATCTATGGAATCACGGGTAGTGAATTCATTAATATGCAAATCTACACACTTCACTATTCTCTCAATTCATCTTCCAAATTAATGAAATATAAGTAAATGTGTTTTATGAAATAATCTAGACATCTTCCCCAGGCTGCTATGATTGGGCATTCACCTCAAGGGTAGGAAAGTGGGGAAGACGGACATTCAAGTATCCCTCAAGCAAAGGCAGACCAGTTAAAAAATATTGTATTGAAATGTAAAATAGTTCTGGTCCCCTTTTGGGTCCCTACACAATATACCTTCTCTCTATCCTTTCCCTCATCCTTATTCCTTCCTAAAATAAATGTGCCTTCCCAATAAGATTGTTTATTCAAGAGAACCTTACTAGTATGTTTTCAGATTGTGCAGGGAATATATATCTAAGAGAATACAGTATTTAGAAATTTCCTTTCAATTAGTATATTTGCCTCTTCTAACACCACATACACACTTTTTCTGGGGCCACATAGGTTTCTCTTAAAAGTTTTCTTGAAACAAAACAGCCTCCAGTTCCATACATGTTGTTGCAAATGACAGGATCTCATTCATTGTTATGACTGAATAGCACTCCACTGTGCATATGTAGCGCATTTTCTTAAGTGAAATAAGTCACTCTGTCCTTTCTTCACATATTCTCACACATTCATGGGAAAAATAAACTTCACATGTTCTCACTCATGTGTGAGAACTAAAAATCAAAACAACTAAACTCATGCTGATAGATGGTAGAATGATGACTATCAGAGGCTGGGAAAGGTAGTAGGAGGAGGGGAGAGTGGGCACAGTTAAAGAGTCCAAAAATATAGTGAGATAGAATGAATAAGATCTAGTATTTGATAGCATAATATGGTGACTACAGTCAACAATAATTTTGTTGAGTATATTTTAAAATAACAAAAGAGTATAACTGGAATGTTTATAACAGAAAGAAAGGATAAATGCTTAAGGTGATGGATACCTCATTTGCCCTAATGTGATTATTAAGCATTGTATGCCTATATCAAAGTATCTCATGTACCCCATAAGTATATACACATACTATGTACCTAAAAAAATAAAAAATAAAAGATAACATAAAATAGAGTTCTCTTGTAACAGACCTAGAAATCACCTATAGTATTTTTCTGCCTGATCTGCCTGATTTTTTTTAAGCACTTTCTTCTTTGTCAGATCTGTATCCAAGTAGCACTTAAGAGTAGGCTCTTTTAGCTTCTGCACAGCAAAAGAAACTATCATCAGACTGAACAAGCAACCTACAGGATGGGAGAAAAAGTTTGCAATCTATCCATCTGACAAAGGGCTAATATCTAGAATCTACAAGGATTTTAAACAAATTTACGAGAAAAAAAACAACTCCATCAAAAAGTGGGTGAAGAATATGAACAGATCCTTTTCAAAAGAAGACATTTATGCAGCCAACAAACATATGAAAAGAAGCTCATCATCACTGGTCATTAGAGAAATGCAAATCAAAACCACAATGAGATACCCTCTCACACCAGCTGGAATGGCAATCATTAAAAAGTCAGGAAACAACAGATGCTGGAGAGAATGTAGAGAAATAGAAACACTTTTACACTGTTGTTTAGAGTATAAATTAGTTCAACCATTGTGGGAGACAGTGTGGCAATTCCTCAGGGATCTAGAAACAGATACCATTTGACCCAGCAATCCCATTACTTGGCATATACCCGAAGGATTATAAATCATTCCACTATAAAGACACATGCGCACATACGTTTACTGCAGCACTGTTCACAATAGCAAAGACTTGGAACCAATCCAAATGCCTATCAATGATAGACTGGATAAAGAAAATGTGGCACATATACACCAGGGAATACCATGAAGCCATAAAAAAGGACGAGTTCATGTACTTTGCAGGGGCATGGATGAAGCTGGAAATCAGCATTCTTAACAAACTGACACAAGAACAGAAAACCAAACACCACATGTTCTCACTCATAAGTGGGAGTTGAACAATGAGAACACACGGACACAGGGAGGGGAACATCACACACTGTAGCATGTTGAAGGGTGGGAAGCTAGGAGAGGGATAGCATTCCAAGAAATACCTAATGTAGATAATGGGTTGATGGGTGCAGCAAACCACCATGGCATGTGTATACCTATGTAATAAACCTGCACATTCTGCACATGTACCCCAGAACTTAAAGTATAATAATAATAAAGAGTATACTCTTTTACATTTATTTGAATTTTATTAAACTTTTAAATTTATTGTAATTTTTGCCTTTCTATGGATTTGAAATATATTATAATCTCATGTGCCAGGAGTGGTGGTTCAGGCCTGTAATCCCAGCATTTTGGGAGGCTGAGTCAGGTAGATCACTTGAGGTCAAGAGTTCAAGACCAGCCTGACCAACATGGCAAAACCCCATCTCTACTAAAAATACAAAAATTAGCCAGGGAAGGTGGCACATGCCTGTAGTCTCAGCTATTCAGAAGCCTGAGGCATGAGAATCTCTAGAACCTAGGAGGCAGAAGTTGCAGTGAACCAAGAAGTCACCACTACACTCCAGCCTAGGCAACAGAGCAAGATCCTGTCTAAAAAAAAAAATAAAATCTCATTGCAATTTTATTTTACATTTCTATAATGACTAATAATATTTGTTGTTCTTATTGGCTATTCATTGCTGTATCTTATCTTATGAAATGTCTGTTCAAGTCTTTTGCCTACTTTTATGTTGGGTTATGTGTTTTTTGGTTAATTCTTACCGTAATACCTTCATCAGATATATTTTTGGAACATTTTCTCTCCATCTATAACTTGCCTTTTCATTTTTTTTTTCTTTCTGAGACAGAATCCTGCTCTGTTGCCCAGGCTGGAGTGCAATGGTGCAATCTCAGCTCACAGCAACCTCCAACTCCTGGATTCAAGTGATTATCTTGCCTCAGCCTCCCGAGTAGCTGGGATTACAGGTTACCACCACCACATCCAGCTTTTTTTTTTTTTTTGTATTTTTAGTAGAGATGGGGTTTTACCATGTTGGCCAGGCTGGTCTCAAACTCCTGACCTCAGGTGATCCACCTGCCTCAGCCTCCCAAAGTGCTGGAATTACCGGCATGAGCCACTATGCCCGGCCCCTTTTCATTTTTGGGGGTGTCTTTTGATGAACAAAACTTTTCATTTTTATTACTTTATTTTATGATTAGTAAATTTTTCTTTTTAAGAAGCTTTTTAAGAACCTTTGCCTTCCCCAAGTTCACAAAGATATTCTCCCATGTTACATTCTAGAAGCTTTATACGCTTATCTTTTACATTTACATCTATGATCTATCTGAAATTCATTTTGGGGAACAGTGAAGCCTTAGGCAGTAAAGTTGATTTTTTCCACTTGTTTATCTAGTTGTTCCAGCAGCATTTGTTGAGCAGGTTTTCCTTTTCTCCATTTAATTGCCTGGTGCCTGTCATGCAGGAAATTGCCTTGATGTAATGATAGCCTCCAGATACCCTACCAGCTAAAACCACCTCCCAGGTCAAAAAAGCAGAAATGTCTGCAGGTCAAACTAAGGTGGTACTCAAAACACATGGCTTAAGGAATAAGTATAAAACAAAGAGAGATGCAAAAAGAAAGAGTTGAGTATGTTAATACACTTAGAATGAATTTAAACAGAATAGAAGGACCATACTACATGAATCTTAGATTATACTATATTTATATGTCCTATTGCTCAATCTGTCTGCCACATGAGATTTTTCAGTTGATGATGTGTTTGAGGTTTGAAAAAGAGGACTCAGCAGATGGAAGGTGTCTATAGCCAGCTACACAATTACACTAGAGGAGAGACTCAGAAAAGTACAACTGACCACAGTCAATGGCTCACCAGTTAGGGTAATGAGCAGTTACAAATTTTACTTGTGTTTTTGGATAAGGACATCGAGGCTAGAGTAGGCATCATCAATAAGTGACCTATTTCAATCCTCATTAATACTGGGAGACTCATGTGGCTCAAGTTTATTTAGTGCATTACAAATATTCAGTATCCATGTGGTCCTTCTGAGCTTTTCTATCAGTAAGTTATACAATCAACTATTTCATCCTTTTATCTAAGCACAAAACACAGATGTTCCAGTCCACTTAACTTTATTTGCGTTAGCATGTCTCACAAGCCACTTGCTTTGTCACTTCTCGGTACCTGTAGAAGATTGGATCTAAGGACATTCTGCAGATACCAAAATTCAGATACTCAAGTCCTAGATAAAAATGACATAGTATTTTCATATAACATATGTACATCCTCCCCTATGCTTTAAATCATCTCTAGATTACTTGTGTAAATAGTTGTTATGCTATATTGTTTAGGGAATAACAAGGAAAAATGTCTGAACATGTTCAGTACGGATGCAATATTTTTCCTAATATTTTCAATCCAAAGTTGATTGAACTCATGGATACATAGGGCTATTACCACATTTAGTTTCATTTATTCACTGTATTTGTTTTTCTTATGTTCTATAGCAGGGATCAGCGAACTATGACCTGCAGACTCACTATCTATTTTATAAATAATGTTTTGTTGTAACAGCTGCAATCATTCACTGACATATTATCTATAGCTGCATTCCTGCTACAAAGGCTGGGCAGAGTATAGTAGTTGCAGCAGAGACAGTATAGCCAGCAAGTCCTGTATATTTACTCTGTGTCCCTTTAAGAAAAAGGTTCCCATTCTCCTTTTTATAGAAGATTCAATATTCTTGAATAATGAGTAAGCACACATTACTAAATCTTTGTTGAAAATCAACTAACTTTACATATGTGGATCTATGTTTGGACTGTTTTGATTTATGATATAATGTCTGTTATGCTAATACTGTATTGGTTTGACTACTATAGTTTTAAAGTAGATTATTAAACCAAGTAATATAAATTTTCCACCTGTTTTGTTTTTTGCAAAATTGTTTTGGCCATTCTAAATCTTTTGATTTGTAAGTAACTTTTACAGTTAACTTGTCAGTGTCTCAAAATAGACAGGATTTTTATTGAGAAGGCATTAAATCTATAGATAATTTCTGTATAATTGTAATTTTAACGATAATGAGTCTTTCAACTATTTATTTAGGTCTTTATTTTTTTCCCAGCTCTGTTCCCTAAGTTGTCAGCATAGAGGTCTTACATATATTTTACTACATTTGTTCTAAGTAACTTATGTTTTCTGGTGCTTTTGTTAATAGAATTTTTTAATGGTTTATGCTAAATACAGAAATACAATTAATTGTTGTATATTGAACTTATTCCCTGTGACTGCTCTATTCATTTATTAGTTCTACTAGTTGTTGTATAGATAGTGTCATTTGGATCTTCTGGTTCCTTACTGATTTTCTATTCTATCAATTTCCAAGAGTAGTACATTAAAATCCCTAACTATGTTTGTGGTATTACCTATTTCTCCCTTGGCTTTGATTTTGTTATACTTACCTTGAGTCTCTGTTTTAGGTACACATATATTTATGATTATGTATTTTGGTTGAGCTGACCTTTGATCCAGAAATTTCGTATCTCTAATAAATACTTTTTTGATGTTTTGTCTGATATGAACATATCTATGCCAATATTTCTTATATTTATTGTTTACAATGTATACCTTTTTCCAGGTTTTTACTTTCTTTTTTTAAATTTTATTTATTTTTGATATAGGATCCTGCTCTGTCGCCCAGGCAAGAGTATAGTTGCTGGATCTCTGATCACTATAGGCTCAACCTCCCAGGCTCAAGTGATGCTTCCACCTCAGTCTCCTGAGTAGCTAGGATTACAGGCACACACCATAACATCTGGCTTATTTCTGTTTATTTTTTGTAGAGATGGGAGTGTCATGCTGCTCAGGCTGGTCTCGAAATCCTGGGTTCAATTGATCCAACCACCTTGGCCTCCCAAAGTGCTTGGATTACAGGCATGAGCCACTGCACCTAGCCACAGTTTAATACTTTCAATCTATGTCTTTATATTTAAAATGTATCTATTATTGATTGTATGTAGTTGTGCTTTTTATTCAATCTCAGAATCTCTGACTTTTAATAAAAGCATTTGTGCTACCTCAGGCTCAATTTTCATTTGTTACTTTTTTTTTTTTTTTTTTCTGAACTACAGGTCACATTTTCCTGTTGTTGTTGTTTTTGCATGACTAGAAAAAATGGTATTGTATATTGGACATTGTAGATGACAAATTTTAGACACTGAATTTTGAAGAGTTTTGAGTTTGTTGTTCTAGCATAAGTTAATTAGGTAGGACTCAAATTCCAAACTGTCTCTTTCCCTCCCTTGTAATGGGCAGCAGCTGAAATCTCTGCTCATCTTTTTTCAGTTTTGCAACTTGATATTTAATTGTTTACAGTATTTCTCATGCATGCCCCCTTCAGAGGCTGGCCAAAGATTTGAGGAGAGATTATATATAAATTTGGGGGCTCTCTACACTGAGACGCTCCAGTTTCTGAGATTATGCCTATTAATTTCAAGCTGTTCTGGTATCCCCAAACTCCATCCTCTGACATCTCAAGTCAATAACTCTGTGGCTCTTTACTCAAGTCTAGCTGTCCTGCACTGCACCAACTTAGAAAATGTACCTGGGTTTTCTTCTAGGGTTTTTATGGTGTTAGGTCTTATGTTTAAGTCTTTAATCCACCTGGAGTTAATTTTAGTGTAAGGTGTCAGGAAGGGGTCCAGTTTCTGCTTTCTGCACATGGCTAGCCAGTTTTCCCAACACCATTTATTAAACAGGGAATCCCCATTGCTTGTTTTTGTCTGGTTTGTCAAAGATCAGATTGTTGTAGATATGTTGTGTTGCCTCCAAGACCTCTGTTCTGTTCCATTGGGCTATATCTCTGTTTTGGTACCAGTACAATGCTGTTTTGATTACTGTAGCCTTGTAGTATAGTTTGAAGTCTGGTAGTGTGATGCCTCCCGCTTTGTTCTTTTTGCTTAGAATTGACTTGGCTATGTGGGCTCTCTTTTGGTTCCACATAAAGTTTAAGGTGTTTTTTTCCTCTAAGCAAAACCATTCAGGACATAGGCGTAGGCAAGGACTTCATGACCAAAACACCAAAAGCATTGACAACAAAAGCCAAAATAGACAAATGGGACCTAATCAAACTCCACAGCTTCTGCACAGCAAAAGAAACAGTCATTAGAGTGAATCAGTAACGAACAGAATGGGAAAAAATTTTTGCAGTTTACCCACCTGACAAAGGGCTGATATCCAGAATTTACAAAGAACTAAAACAGATTTACAAGAAAAAAACAAACAAGCCCATTCAAAAGTGGGCAAAGGATATGAACAGATACCTTACAAAAGAAGACATACATGAGGCCAACAAACCTATTAAAAAATGCTCATCATCACTGGTCATCAGAGAAATGCAAATCAAAACTACATTGAGATACCATCTCAAGCCAGTTAGAATGGCAATCATTAAAAAATCTGGAGACAACAGATGCTGGAGAGGATGTGGAGAAATAGGAACACTTTTACAATGTTGGTGGGAGTGTAAATTAGTTCAACCATTGTGGAAGACAGTGTGGTGATTACTCAAGGACCTAGAAATAGAAATTCCATTTCACCCAGCAATCCCATTACTGGGTATATATCCAAAGGATTATAAATCGTTCCACTATAAGGACACATGCACACAAATGTTCATTGCAGCACCGTTTACAATAGCAAAGACCTGGAACCAATCCAAATGCCCATCGATGATAAACTGGACAGGGAAAATGTGGCACATATACACCATGGAATATTATGCAGCCATCAAAAACGATGAGTTTGTGTCCTTTGTAGGGACATGGATGAACCTGGAAACCATCATTCTCAGCAAACTAACAGAAGAGCAGATCAAACACCGCATGTTCTCACTCATAGGCGGGTGTTGAACAATGAGAACACATGGGACACAGGGAGGGGAGCACTACACACTGGGGTCAGTTGGAGGGAAATAGGAGAGGGACAGTGGGAGGTGGGAAGTTGGGGAGAGATAGCAAGGGGAGAGATGCCAGATGTAGGTGATGGGGAGGAAGGCAGCAAATCACACTGCCACGTGTGTACCTACGCAACAATCTTGCATGTTCTTCACAGGTACCCCAAAACCTAAAATGCAATAAAATAAATGGAAAAAAAAAAAAAAAAGAAAGAAAATGTACCTGGGGAAAAGTCTGTATCAATGTGAATCTCACTCAAGACAGTTCGCTCCTTTCAAGAATCAAGTTTCTTTCAGGTGCTGTTGTTGTTCTTATTGTTGTTTTTCCTGCTTTTGATTAAACTCCATGCCTTCAAATGTGTGGATTTTTTTTAACCTAATCCACAGTATACAATTGTTACATGCAGGATGATTATTCCAATACAAGATCCTTGGCAATTACTAGAACCAGAATTTAATGATTTTGTAGGCCACATCAAAACATAACAAATTTAAAGCAGAATTTACCAACATGTGTTCTGGAGAACACAAGTAGTAGCATCTTAAAATGATTAAAAGGGTTTGTTATATGTCAAATATTTAGAAAAGAAACTTATCACTTCAGAGATTCCATGGATTTTAGGAGCCTTCAATTCTCATAAGCCACGACCCAGTACTGGCCAGGGGCCCCTTCTGCCATATGCTACATGTCAGTGCAGTCATTGGTCAAACTAGATTTGAAATGTTAACATAAGACCATGAAATCTGTGGAGGAAAAAGGGAGAGTTTTATTTTTTATTTAAAGAAATCTATAGATGGGAAGACACAGCCTCCAGTGTAATATGGAAGTACAGTCAAAAGAAGAGAGAGGAAAAGGGGGCATTTGCATCTTTCAGAGTCTGTCTAAGGTGTATATTTAGCAGGTTTGTGGAAAGTTGGTGAATATTTTCAAGGAACATCAAGCATATGTGCAATGAGTAAACATATATGTGACATATATTTGATGTTTATTTTAGGGTGAAATTTTAATGTTAAAATGAGGTGAAATTTGGCTCTTCAAAAGGTGAACTGAAGGGCATAAAAATGTTTGTGGGGCATAAAAAGATTCTGTGTACAGTCTCTGTAAACCTGGTGAAACTGGCTTAAAGTCTGTGGCTGTTTATCAGGAAAGACTGTTTGCACAGTAGGTCTATTGTCAAATCAGGGCTGTTGGCGGAAGGTGGGCAGGGGGCCAAGGGGCTATGTAGGGAGTCCAGTTGCCAGTGGCTGGTGTTGGGTAATCCAGCAGGATCAGGGTCCCCAGGGAAATTCCCAGTAGCTATTTTAACAATTTTGTTTGAGGGTTAGTTTCTGTTCAATTACAGGAAAGAAGACTTTATGGCAGCTAGTCACGTACAGGTGTATGCCCAACCCTCCTCCCTGGTATGTTCACTTAATTCTATTTCTGGTGTGCCTCATTTTAGCCACATGAGTTTATTTCATCTGTCAGCTGGGGGTATATTTTAACAAAGACGAGAGGAGCTAGACCCCACACTTCATGGGAGGAATATCAAGAAATGTATGATCATTTTTTTAAAAAAACTATGGGGTCTCACTATGCTGCCCAGGCTAGAGTACAGTGGCTAGTCACAAGCATGATGGTAGGACAATACAGCCTTGATCTTAAGGGCTCAAGTGAGCCTCCTGCCTCAGCCTTCCAAGTAGCTGGGACTACTGCACCTGGCAATATGTTCATCTTTA